GATCTTATTGTCACCTTTATCACCTTCTGCACTAAGGCATTTAGTTTCAGTTGTTTCCATATTTACTTTGAATGTTTTGTTGCTTCCCTGTTCAGATTTCATAATCAGCTTCTGATCAGAATCATACAACTTCAAGAGATTGTCCTTCATAGTAACTGAGCAACCTTTCTCAATTAGATGACATACACTCATCAGATTGCTCTTCATTTCAAGAACATACTAAATATCCTTGATCAGAATAATTTTTACATTCTTCACTCAGAATTTGACATTTCCCATTCCTTCAGCATTAAGGTTCTTATCATCAACATATCAGATATTTGTCCTCTTTCTAGAGTCAAAATAATCAGCCATTGTTTGTTTCCAGTTAGGTGATTTGAGCAACCAATATCCATATACCACCAGCCTACCAAATATCCATTATCAGATTCAGAAGCCACCAATAGATGAGGTTCATCATCAGACTCTCCTCTGGCTATATTTGCTTCTTCTGATTTCATTTCCTTATTTAATCAACAACCAACAACAAAATGGAAAAACCTACAACAATATCATTGAACCTTCTTCTTGTCAAATTTCTTCTTTCCCTTCTGATGTTTATTTTCTTTGGAGTTGGAGGCTTCTGACTTCTCATAACCACCACCAGGTCTCTTCTTGGCCAATTCACTCAAATCTCACAAGCACTCGTGTTTCCTAATCCCTCATAATCAAGAAATTATTTCAATTTAGATCTTCAATTCACTATGAATTGAATGAGAAGAATCAATCACACATGCCTCACACACACTCATGATTCCTGTTTCTGAATTTGAACTGAAGCTCTAGATACTAATTGTTGAAGTACAAGGTTGAAGATGAAGAAGATGGAAGAGAGAATCTGTTGTAACTAACTTTTCACTCTTAAATGCATAACATTTAAAAAATGGAAAAACTCTGTTACAAATAGAGTAAGCTTTTGCTTATATACACAAGCCCAAGCTAAATGTAAACCAAATTAAAAGCAAATAAACTGAATCTGAATTACAACTAACATTACATACGTCTCAGTAGTCGTATGCCCTCTTTTTGGATAAATGTAACAGGCATGTGACAAATATTCATCGTAATAATCAATAATTTCCACAAAGTAATAGTAGGAAAATTCTAGAGTATCCAAACCAAAAAGTAGGTTAAATGGAAAGTATTATGAATTATATCAAAATTAGGCATGAATGATATAAAATATTAATTTTACGTGAATATTACGTGAAAGAGACATGAATTATATAAAATATTAATTTTACGTGAAAGAGATAGTTGTTTCCTACCAAGTGTCAACTTACTTGTTTTGTCAAACTAAACACACAAGTAAATTAGACATGGAACTCCTCGGTTGTATTTGAAAATATTCTCAATGTCTAAGAAGTACTTCACATATACAACATCAACATATGTTGCACTCTTATCCATACAAAAATGTTTTTTAATAAACCAAATATATATATAATAATGAAAATAAAGGAAATACAAAATACTAGGGATATAAATCAAACCCAGTTAAACCATGAAATCAGTTCAGAAGGAAATACATGTAGATCAAATACAACAAAATTGATTTAGAATAAACTAAATCAATCAAACACACACACACACACACACACACACACACACACACACACACACACACACACAATCCAACAAACTCACGTACGAGCGCAAAACTAAATAGCAAAAAAGAGTTTTGTGTGAGTCCTCACTTTTCAAGACGGTGAATGAACCAACTGCCAACATGGACTAATTCATGAACCAACAACCTCTAGAAAAAACTAGAAAACAAGATGACTCTTTCAAGAAAAACAATCCAACATTAAACAAATATAATAATACAAATATCAAATCCATCAGATATCAATCACAATGAATGCTATAGATAATACATCAGCGCCCAGTACAGAAGAGGCGAATCTTAAATCTCCAAACCTATATATCTCAATAGATTTGAACTAATTGGAGAACCAAAAGATTAGGATCCAATTCTGCACCAGAAACTCAAACTTGTAATCATGGCTAAACCATTGTCGTTTAAGAGACCCATCGGAGAAGGAGCTGCCACCCAACAAGAAAACCCAATCAGATTTTTGAGCAAATAGATCAGTGGCTGAAAAACGATATGTGTTGAGAGAACAAAACAATGGCGCTGAAAACTGATATATGATGGGCAACCATATAGAAATCCAAACAGAAAGAGACGAATTTATGCTAAGAAGGACAATGATAATTCCAAAAATTGATATGTGTTTTGAAACCCCAACGGAATGAAGAGGTGATGCGAAGAAAGCTTCCCACCACACTAACACCCAATAGAACTACGTGGTGAAGGTCAAAATATGGATTTGGGAGGTGACAAAATATTTATGATACATGATTTGTGATACTCTCTATGTGTTCCATCGTTGGGATGAGTAAAAATGTCAGTCAAATGACATATGTAAGTCTATTCAAACCATCTAAATCAAGCTTCTTATCCTTGTGTTTATGTATCTCGATTTGGTCCTCATAATGATAAACTCCTATGTGATGATGAATCATTAAGTCAAATGCTTTAAATCTTTGAATCATGGAATGATGCAATAATTGACCTTTGATAAGAAGATGAATATCACAATATACATTATCTAGGGTGTAGGTTATCTCACCAATGGGAATGTGAAAGGGAAATGATTATGAATTATATATCTCAACAAACTTTAACATCATCCTAAGGTCTATAATAGTGTAACAAATCCCTGCATCATCATTCAACACATATGCCACTAATACATCATGAAACAATGTCTCACCTTGTTACTTCAATTACTACTACGAATAAGTGATTTTCCCTCGGTTGGTAGAGTGTTTTTATATCAATTTTATGAGCGAGGTAATAAATGTGTCATGCAAAGTGTGAAACTTGTCCCCTCAATTGAACATATAATCAAGGGGAATATTTTTACTAATCATTAGTTCAATCCCTGTCAACAACATTTTTATTTTCTTTAAAACACACAATTTTTCCTCACGATTACTAATTTACCCGAGGTGAAATATATATATATATATATATATATATATATATATATATATATATATATATATATATATATATATATATATATATATATATATATATATATATATATATATATATATATATATATATATATATATATATATATATATATATATATATCTTGTTTTATTAAAATGGTTTTTTTTAATTTTTCATTATTTTCTTTTCAATATATAAATACAAATTTGTTGGAAAATTCAACAGCTTCTGCATTGTCATCCTTTTGAATCTTTATGAAAATCAAATGTTAGGTTTTGTTGCATACCCATATGTGTATGTGGAATATTTTCTGTGGTTTTACATGCATTTGTTTATGATAAAAAAATTCTAATGGTTACATAAGAAAAATAATTTATCATGTTATAAGGCAAGAGATTATGTAAGGATACCAACATTGAACAAAAACTTTTTTCCGCACTTACAATTCATCATAGAGATTGTTTCCACGCTTCTTTGAGTTTCATTTTTTCTATTTTAATATTCTCATTGTAAATGTTTAACAATAACAAAGTAACATTCAAGATATATAGGGATGTACGTGGGCTAGTTTGGGTTGAGTTTGACCAAACCCAATACTTAATCCATATAGGACACTCCAGTTTGAGTGAGGTAAAATACCACGCGTTACACCAATGAGCCGGTTTGGACAAACCCACTAATTACCGGGTTGATTTGGATTGGGTAGTGGGTTTCCCAAATAATTTTTCTATTTTATTAATATTAAATGACTAAATGATGAGTCATCATATTTTTTTCATAAAAATTACTCAATATTTTTATCTTTTTTAAAAAAAATAGATAACATATTTTTTATTATCTTTTAACATCATAAAATAATAAATGATAACATCAACTGATAAAAATGATTATATAATACTAACAATAAACTAAAGTTGCATGACATAAAATAATATTAGCATCAAAATAATCAAATAGTGAAATATTGAAAATCAATTAAAGTCATTGTTCACTAAAATAGTAAATGTTAAAAGACTAAAATTACAACAACTAAGTTAATTTTCATCAAAATCATTAAAATTGTAATGATAAATGTTTAATTAGTGGGTCAATGTGTTTTTAGGCTTGAGTCTGGTTTTACCCAAAAATTAATTTTTTTTAATGGATTTTTTAGTTTTTAAACTCATATCACTACAAGAAAAATGATGGATTGCGACGGTTATTTTGGCAGGTTACGACGGTTAAAACCACCACCAATTACATTTTACGACGGTTGTAGTACCGTCGCAGAAACGTGTGTCCCCAGGCTGTTTAGCGACGGTTGAAAAAACTGTCACACACAACCGTCGTTATATTTCACGACGGGCTTGAACTGACCTAAACTGGAGATAGCGACGGTTAAAGACCGTCGTTACTAGCCTTTTGATTTTTATTTTCATTGTTGATTGTGACGGTTTAAAACTGTCGTGAACTCTATTTCACGACTGGTTGGAACTGACATAAATTGGAAATGACAACAGTTAAATACTGTCGTGAATATCTTTTTGATTTTTGTTACCATTGTTGATTGCGACGGTTTAAAACTGTCGTGAATGTGATATCTTGACGGTTCATTATTAATTTTTATATATCGTATTATATTGTTTTAAATATATTCTTTTATTTAAATTATTATCTACTAAAATAGTTATATTATTTTTTCTTTAAATTATTTATACAATAATATTTTTATTTATAGTTTCTTTTTTAAAATTTTCTATCGCTTTTTAGCGTAGTAAAATTAATTTCAAAACTTAATATCAAATAAACATTATAATATCAAAAAAACGTGAGTTTCATAATCATATAAAATGAAAGTTCCATAATCATGTCATGTAATACAAAAATCCGAAAACATATCAAATCATAACTTTATAACAATAAGTATCATTGTGCCAAAAATGAATAAGAAGGTTCATAATTTATAGAGTTCCGAAAACTGTTGATGGGATTCCTCCAGCTCCTTTGACAAAGATAGTATCTGCTTCTTTGCTTCTTCAATCTCCTCTTCAGCTTTTCTCTTCCATGACTCCGATGTGCTAAGTTGATCCTTAGCACTTTTCAGATCTTCTTGAAGCTTAGCAATCTGAGATTCCAATTCCTGAACCTTGCTAGGTCGCTTCTTCTAAAGCCAGATAAAAGACACATTACAGAGACAATAACTAAATATAATTATGAATATTATAAAGATTTTGGATTATGTGTATGCATATAGATAAAGATAGTATATGAAGAACTTAAAAAAAAATTTGTAAGGTATGTGAAGAACGTAAAAAGAATTACGTCTCTTATGTAGAAAATTTATGTTCCTTGTACTTGTGTCTATTAAAGTTCAATGCAACATTAATTATTGCAAAGAGAGACAAATAATTTCATCAAAAGTAACAATAATTATTGATTTGTAAGTGGAAATAATTTTGAAACGACAAAGAAAACAGAGGGAGTGGTATCTATCATCAAGGAGATAGTCATTAGCAATAGTAGCTCCTTAAGACAAATCGAATTAAAGCAGCTGATTCAGATCTAGCAGTGAGACAATTTGAAATACCTCAAATATTGGACTGTGTGATAACATGCGTTCATTAACTTTTGGACTCATATCTTTTGGCATCTTTCTTATGGGGTTTGAAGAGGAGGAGGCTGAGTTAGAACCAGAGTTTGGTGTCTTCAACTGGCGAGCAGTTCGAGGGGTTGCAGGAGATTTCCTTTGTGACATTTCTGAAGCACTATCTCTGTCATCCATAAACAAATTAGCATGCATAAACAAAACAAATGCATAAAAAAAATGCGAATCATAGTCATCCTCAGATAGCACACATAAATGGTCCAGTGAGGATAATAATCAATCAAATGGAAGACGCTATGCAACACTATTTTTCAATCACCTCCATTCATTCATACACTCGATACAAGCCGAATATCATCACATTTTCAAACTTCAAGTAAATGAAACAAAAACATGGGACCACACAATCTTACTTGATCTTGGAATGAAATATGGAGGGAGAACTTTTTTAAAGAAACCAAATCTACACCCAACAACATAAATAACCCCTTCGCAAGCTTGTTTTAACAAACATACATAATACAATAGATACAGAACAATCTATTTGCATAAAAACTGTTAAAATCAAAATACTACAATCTTACCTTGCTTTTGGTGTCTGCATAAATTAATATCTCTTATTCCTGCAACAAGAAAGAATCTAGGATTAAGAAATAAAATAAAATAAAAAAGAAACTTAATTAACTCATTATATAGTACTAGAAAAAGCAATTGTTAGTAGCTAATGATTCCAACAAATCAACATTCAACAAAAAGAAAAAAGCAACAAACAAAAATGTATATAACAATCCCTTCAAAGAAACTCCTTGTAAACAAACTACACTACACCAACTTCCTTTTCCATTTTCCTTCAAGTTTCATTTTGAACTCAGAAAATTCTAGATCTACAAGTAGTAGTACTTTGAAAACAAAGCAACTTAACAGAAGAAAATAATGCAGAGATTCTGGTCAAACACCATTAAATGCGAGCTACTGTGAAAACAAAAACCAGCATTAACGAACTAACTAACCAACCACAGCAATAAATAACCACTGAAATGTACGAACTACAGAAACTTCAATGATGAAAAAAAAATTACCAATCAAACAGGACTGGATTATTCAGTGGTCTAGTCCTGAACAATCAACACTTCATTATTTCCATAACTCCAACATATACGCACACTTGAAATAGTAATAACAGCAAAACCTTCAGCAAGACCGTGAAATACAAGCAACCGTTCTTCAGGCAAACTGACACAATCAGGACATTCAGACGATTTGTCCCAAAAGTTAATGGCTTTTCCATTACATCCATGAGCAAGAAAAAGAACACCTTTAGGTGATTCAGGTACTTGCCATATCAAATCTGTTCCATTCCTGAACTCTCTTGTGGGATGCAATTTCACCAAAGAATCAAAGCTATTCCACTTTTGCTTATGAGAATCATAAGCTAAACTTGGTTTTACTTTTACTTTGACACCATGATTATCATTATCATGAACATTATCAAATACTAAAAAGAGAATCACTAGCATTAGCATCAATGTAAAAGACATAACAAGTACTTGGATCCTGCAAATGTAACCACTAGCAGTACTACTACGTTGCTTTGATTTGTATCCATTATTATTCAACATGGTGAAAAAGGGGTCCATAACAGGAAGGGAAAAAGATCAAATTTTGATCAACATTTCTTGACAGAGGATGAGTAAACTATAAAGGGTCAATGGCATATAATCAAATTGATCATTGAAATGAAAGGGAGATTATCTAGAATTGATTTTCAAAAATATGAATACTCACATGGAATCATGAGTGAGTTTGATGGTTAATCACTTTGTTGCGGTGGAAATAGGATCACAAACTATTAATGAGTTTGAATCGCAATTCAATTCACAACCGCTCTTTGATTTATCCGAAGGAAAAGGTCAAAAGAGGGAAAACCTATTTTTGCATCGTAAACACAATGCGGGGAGATTCTAGGATTCGGGGGTTGGTTAAATTTAGGGAAGGTATTAGCACCCTAAACTTCTGTAGTACTCTACAGGAACCTTTTGTTCAAATGTTTACTATTTGCTTTATTTATTTGCTTAAGGTATATGTACAAAGGATTAAAAGTGAGAAAAGAGACCTAAGGGGTTAGTTCTAAGTTTACTCGGCAAGACGTCGCATCTTGTGCCTACGTATCCTTACGGGAGTGGAATCAGAGTAATTGTAGTTCCCCTCAAAAGGGAGGTTAGAGACTTCTTGACTGTGGTCAAGGTCTCACGGGGAATAAACATATCTTAAGGACACGCTTACGTGGAGTGTAGAAACTCCAAATCTCTACGTTGAATTGTTAAGTTGTAATTAGGGTTAAATTAGGTTAGGTTAGGGATTCCGCGGCGGGAAACCCTAAAATGAGCGCGGCGGCTCTTTGACCTAATGCTAGGGGTAAAATTGTAATCTTGCCTGCGGCGAGGCATTTGTGAAAATTAGGGTTTGATCCATTAAAGGGGTAAGGCTATTGACTCGGCGGCCAAAAGGCTGGACCTAATCCTTCGGAAGGATAAAACTGTAAAAAATGTGAAAATATGACAAATCATTATATGGAGGAATAATTAAGGTACAGAAATAAGAAAAGTAATAAAGGCAGAGGGTATAAAGAAACAAAGAAACATTTCTGAAAACATGAAGAATATGAAAATATGTAATGACACTTAGAATGAGGTGAGGGAGGAAAATAGTGTGGGGCTGTGGCCACCACAAGCACATCTCAACCTCAAGCATGCAAATGAAATGCAGGAATAAAGAAAATAAAAGGTACACAAAATGACACGGCAAACATAAGGGGTTCCTTACGAAAAGGTTTTAATTTTTTAATATTTTAATTATGTAAAAAAATGTTTTAATTTTTTTAATATATAAAAAGGTTTTAATTTTAAAATGGAATTACTTAGTTAAAAAAAAATTTAAGTTTAAATTATAAAAAAAATGTTAAGTTTAAATTATATATAAAAAAAAATGTTTTTGGGAACAAAAAGGTTTTTTTTGGGAAAAAATGTTTACGGGAACAATTGGGAATAAAAAAAAGGTTTTTTTTTGGGAAAAAATATTTACGGGAACAAAAAAGGTTTTTTTTTGGGAAAAAATGTTTTAGTTTTAATAAAAAAGGTTTTGATTTTGAAAAAGGTTTTGATAAAAAAAAAAATAACAATAGAATTGCAAATGCAAACAGACAATTAATGGACATGCAAACAATCCTATACGACACAATCATGGTTCATACATATCAAAATCTACGGATCTAAACAACAATGAAGGTTAACATGGCAAGGATGCAAATAAATATGAAAAATGCAAAGGATTTAGTAATTTAACGGACCTAAACACATTAACATGGCAAAATATGCACATAAACATGAAAAGGCAAAAGGTTTAGTAATTTAACCTACGAAGCGGAGGTTTGCTTCGGTAAATGTGAAAAAGGTTTGAATAAGGGAACACTGGAGAGCTCCAATCCTTCTAACGAGTTGTGGGAACGACCGCCTTTCTTCTCTGGGGATCTCCTTTGTTTCTCCCTCTCTCTCCTCTTTTCTGAAGAAAACCTTCTGACCCCTCTTAGGTTTTTTTCATTCTCTCCTCTTTTCCAACAAGGCAACACATGTATATATAGGGAACAAATTAGGGTTAACACCAAATTGTCAATAATGTCCCTAAAGCCCATTTTAAAGCCCAAACTAAATAATTAGTTAAGAAAAAATAAAATTTAAATAATTTAAAATAATTAAAATAAACTTAAAATAAAAACTAATAATCCTATTGATTCCTAAAATAAAAAATATTATAAAAGGAACAAAATTTTTCAATATTTTTTTATTTTATGATTTTTTGGATATTTTTATGAATAATTTAGAAAAAAGTGAAAAAAATAATATTTTAAAAAATGATTTAATTAAAATACGAAAATAATAATTAAATAATAATAAAAAACTATTTTTGTTATTTTTTTAATGAAAGATAGAAAAATTTAGAGTAAAAATAATAAAGAACAAAAAAAGTGACAAAGGTGAGATTTAATTTTTAAAATAGTTAGAAAAGAAAAAAAAAAGATTTAATTTTAAAAAAGAATTTAGAGGAAAAAAAGATTTAATTTTAAAAAGAAGTTAGAGAAAAAAGATTTAATTTTTAAAAAGAGTTAGACAAAAAGATTTAATTTTAAAAAAAGTTAGAAAAAAAATTTAACTTTAAAAAGGTAGTTAGAAAAAGGATTTGATTTTTTAAAAATATTTAGAAAAAAAAGATTTAATTTTAAAAAAGTTAGAAAAAGATTTAACTTTAAAAAGGAATTAGAAAAAAATATTTAATTTTAAAAAGAAGTTAGAAAAAAATATTTAACTTTAAAAAAGTTAGAAAAAAAAGATTTAGTTTTAAAAAAGTTAGAAAAAAAGATTTAATTTTAAAAAGTTAGAAAAAAATATTTAATTTTAAAAAAAAAGTAAAAAAAAAAAAAGTGTTAGAAATTAATTTAAAAAAGGTTATGAAAAATTTACTCTTTAAAGAAAAGAAAAAAAAAAGTTAAATTTTAATCTAAATCCTAAAAGTTAGTAAGAAGAGCTTAAAATGACTTAAATAAATAAACTAAATAGGAAAAAAAAAAGTTAATAAAAAACATTAGTAAAGTTATAAAAAAGGTTAATTAAATTATTATTAGTTAAAAAAAACAAGATTTAAAAAAAAGGTTAATTTATTAAGTTAATAAGAATTTAAAATAAAAATAAAAAAGAAAGGGTAAAATTTGGGGTATTACAGTTGCCCCTATTTAAATGGCTACACCGGACGATTTGAGTGACAGAGACTCGTGGAATCGTGGTGGAGAGATTTAAATATTGATAACCGAAAATTTTGCCCTTATATGCGACGATATGCAATGCTATGGACAAAACTGGAACGACTTAATGCAGATGATGCCATGACTATGATATGATGCGTATGCTGGAATAATGAATGCGAAAATGCTGACGAAACATGACGACACCGAGACAGACGCCACGAGAAGAAACACACTGGGGAAAATGACGCGCTGAGACACAGTACATCACTGGGGAATTCTAAAAATGATAGTCAACTGGTGCGAATGACCAATTGTCACTTTTAGAAAAGGAACGAGATCCTCGAATGGAGATGGTACCTATGAGACGGCCTCCACTGGGGAATCTAAAAATAAAACTGGATCACGTACGATTGTAAGATCGATTACAGAATGCTGGAGCATTGAGCAAGGAATAACATCCAAGCTTCTGTAAACTACCCCTCGTGACAGGATCAAACGGACTTTTCGGAACTCCGTAGCAAATATACAGGGTAAAGACCGACTGTATGCCAAAATAAATGGACTTTGATGGGAATTGCCCTGATAAGCTTCTCGAGGGAGAACTGTCACTTATCGTTGGAAGGGACTTATGTGCAAAAAATGGATAAGCACTCAAATAAAGAGGCTGCTGCTTATCTGATAAATAAATCTTCTCGCATTTAAGGTCGGCGCCTGGAATACGATTCTGATTCTTCTCTTACTGAAGGATAAATAAACTTCTTCATGCTTCAAGATTATGTTCTCCTGAACATGAAAAGGGTAAACTGAAC